TTATAGTAGCCCCATCTAAGTTGTATTTGCCTAGTTTATCGATAAGAATATCATGCGAGACTGTATCAAATGCATTACTAAAGTCTAGGTATACCACATCCACCGCTTCTCTCTTATCCACAAGACCTGTTATCCTATCAAAGTGGCCGTGGTCCTCCACTTCATTCCCACAGTTCCCTGTGTGGTGCTCAGAAGGACAGACAAATTCTCTCACAATTCACTGGGAAAGAATCAGACCAGCTCAGCTTACTGCAGCACAAAGAACCATGAGGATGCCAGAACCAGGGTAGGGCTTTGTAGTGTGGCTGCTCACACCTGAGCTAGACTAACCCAGGTGCTCACACTTGGGTGCCAATAACCCTGTAGCAAAGACATATCCTTAATTGCTATCCCTGCTCCTGTCTGAGGTCTGTGGAAAAAACAAATGATTGGAGCCAGGAATTCCTCAGTTCTAATTCTTGCCTTGCAATTGATTCAAAATTTGGCCTCTGTTTCCCCATCTGTAAAATGGAGGTAATGTTTAAGGTACTTACTCATAGGATGTTGCAGATCAATATGTGTAAAGTGCTAAGTATCATTAATTGTTTCAACCCCTCTATCAGTACAGTTTGGTCAGTAGTGAAAAGTGTTATTCAAAAGGATGGCCCACTCGGGTTCTACCATGGTCTGTCAAGCACTTTACTTCGGGAAGTCCCAGGTTATTTCTTCTTCTTTGGAGGCTATGAACTGAGTCGGACATTTTTTGCAGCGGAGAGACCAAAAGATCAACTAGGTATGTGCCAGCTTGTGGGTATGTGGAAAAGGTAGTCTCTCACTACAGAAAGTAGCATACTTCTATTCTCAAAATCTCTCCTGCAATGCTAATTATACCTTATACACTTGCTGTATATCTGCAGCCAAAAAATTGTGGTCCTGTAGAATAGCGATGTGGGAGCAAAACCAACACTATTCCTGTTTATGGGTGGTAAAGAACTGCTCACGCCAACCATTTTCAGATTTGTCATGCATCATCTTGCTTTTGTACACTTATTTAGCTGATGTATGAGTTACCTGATCGGGAGAGGATAATTGTACAAAAACTGTTGAATGTTCAACACTCCACAATGCACCACCGAACTGTTTATTGCAGCAAAGTTGTTCACTAGTTGTGCATCTTTTAAGGGATTTGAAACTTTTCCTTTGCACGGTGTTCAGTGCGTGTGTCACAGATGTTTCTCACACTCACTCACACACTCACACTCACACTCACACACACCACTGCATTAAAAGAACATTAATGTTGCAAAGTCAAGCACTCAAAAGTTAGGAAATGGCAGAATTGTCTGTGCAACGTTACATTTGGTTTCCAGAAAAAAATCAGCTTGGGGTAGACACTGGGTATTTAAAACTTTAGCCCAAACAGTTTGGCAAATTATAAGCAACTGAAAACAGAGTCTTATAATGGGAAATGTTGGGCAACCTCAATAATAGGCAGTTCTGTAAGTCCTATTTATAGTATGTAAGGGCTATCTGGTTGTTTAGGATTCAGACGTTAGTATTGCAGAATGTGAAATGTAATATTCTGTATCATTTCAGTATGAACACGAACTCTTGGAACTCTTGCATTCCTTATTTTGGACAAATGCTCTTTCCATGCTTTGAAGCGTTAGCCTCTGTTTGCCAGAAGCTGGGAATGGATGACAGAGGATGGATCACTTGAGGATTACCCTTCTGTTCATTTCCTCTGGGGCACCTGGGACTGGCCACTGTCGGAGGACAGGATACTGAGCTAGTTGGACCTTTGGTCTGACCCAGTATGGCCGTTCTTATGTTCTAACTTCATATGCAGTTTCAAAGAGGGATATTGAAGATAGGAAACCATTGGGTCTCTCTGGCTATTAAAATGCAAGATACCAGCCTTTGAAGGGACTTGGCATCAGTAGTTTGCTTTTTTAGTAGTTAAAAGTGCTTGCTTTTTCTAGCTACTATTGTTATCAAATTTTCATAAAAATCTGATCATGAAAGCAAAATGTGGTTGCATTCTGAAAGTTGACTGGGTTTGTAACAATGCTGTCTCACTCAATAGACATTCCCCTGTGTATATTCAGAGTCATAACTGCTGGCTTTACTCAAGAAATTTTTACAACCTTTTTACTTGTGATAGCGCTGCAGAGCCAATCCAGCAATGGCAGCAGGAGTGAGATATTTTGTCTTAAGTATTAATTAAATTCTGACACCTTTTTTTTTTTTCTTGTCATGGCCTGAACCATACATTCCAGGGTGAACTTCAAGGCCTGGCAGGCGAGTTGCACTTCTGAACTAAGAATATTTAAATTTAGAAGGAAGTGAGAGAGCATAAAGGTATCTCTTTCCCTATGTTACAAAATATTTTAAAGAAACCTGCTTTCCTAAACCAGACTTTGTGTTGAAGGTTTGTCTACGTAGTAAAATTTTTTAACTCTTATTCTAAATGTGCTCGTGGAAGTAGGAGGCTGGACTCTTTAGAAATCCACAACCACTTTATTTAATCTTATACATATGGTACAGTGCAAGCTTATCACACAAAAAAAACTGCCACCTCCTCAAACTCTGTGCATTCCTTGTTTTCACATTTCTCTAAAATAGAACACCATAAAATTTGAGGGGTAGTTTGCACAGTGTATAAAAGCTTATTTCATGTTTTTAGGGCCTATTCCTTTGATGGTGAGTGGTGGTTTTGGAGGCATCTGCTTGTGGATTGCTGTTTATCCTGTGGACTGTGTCAAATCTAGAATTCAGGTTCTTTCCATGTCTGGAAAACAGGCAGGCTTCATGGGAACATTTGCAAATATTTTGCGAAATGAAGGTAAGCATGTCCAATACAAACTGAATCTGCAGGCTCATATGTAAAAACTTTTTACTCCAGTATGGAAAATCTATTCTGAAACCTAATCTGTTAAGAAGTTACAGGAAATTAATTATGCTACTTCCTTTTCTGTAGACCACAAATTACTGTTCTTGTGAAATTCTCCCATCGCCACCTTTAGAGACCCGCAAAATGATGCTACTAAAAAATCTTGATGCTAACAATAATACAGAAGCTAGTTTCACAGATTCAGGCTTAATACATCTACTACACTCCGTTGTACTTCAGAGGGCAATCACTGAGTGCTTACTGTAGTAGTCTCAGATGCCATCCGATGGTGCAGGGACATCTACATCGAGCACATCACCGGCCACCGACAGTACCAGGAGGCGTGAGCCAGAGTGACATCGTTCTCCCACTACGAGAAAGAGACCAAGTGACCTTCTCCGTTGGATCATATGAACTGGAACCATAAACTCCCTGAACATTAAATCTCACCAAATGAGGGTCAATCCATCCTCATCATAATATCCACTCATTATTATCCACACCCGAACATAGCCACTTCATACCCTCATATCTCAATGTCTGTACTTTGACCCATCAACCTTTTACCCCCAATCGGGGACATTGCAGATTATGTATTCCTCATGCCACCTTATCTTAAACCAAACTTTGCACCCTCGATAATCTATGTTATTTCCTGATAACCAGAAACTTCTATGCTCAAACTCTGTTCACTATTTTTTTTTTAATATCATCTTACCTGTTAAAGACAGATGAGTAAATGCACCCTACTGCCCTGCAATGTCTAACTTGTAATTTAAACATTGAAACTCCAAACAGGTACTAGAAATAGATTCTCCACAAATTTGATTTATCTATGTTTGAAGAATTTCTAAGAAACAGTAACTTATACATTTATAAAAGATGCTCAGTTGACTAGGAAAGTAGAAATTGCCGTACTGGATCAGATCCAAGGTCCCTCAGGTCCGGGATAGTGTATCTGACTGTGGCTAGCACCAGATGCTTCAGAGAAAGGTATTAGAATCCTGCAGCAGGAAGATATGGGGCCAGCTGTCCCCCACATTAGGTCTTTTCCGAATCTCTAATAGTTAGACAGCCTGAAGCCCAAGGTTTAAGATCCCTTCCAAAATTTTATTACGACGACTCCGGATATTTATCCATATAGATGTCCAGTCTCCTCTTGAATCTTGAGTTGTTGGCCTCAACAATGTCCTGTCTCAATGATCAGAGGGGTAGCCTTGTTAGTCTGAATCTGTAAAAAGCAACAAAGGGTCCTGTGGCACCTTTAAGACTAACAGAAGTATTGGGAGCATAAGCTTTCGTGGGTAAGAACATCACTTCTTCAGATGCAAGTCTACTCTCTGCTTCCTGATTCTTCTAATTAGTATCATTATTTTAAGTTCCTCTGCATGACTTCTAGAGAGTAGAGCACCAGAACTATTGCTGGTTAGTCTTTTAAAAGTTTAATGTGCACATTTCTAATCAGTTCATGTTTCATTTTGCAGGAGTATTTGCCTTGTATTCTGGACTAAAGCCTACTTTGATTCGTGCATTCCCAGCCAATGGTGCACTGTTCCTTGCCTATGAGTACAGCCGCAAGATGATGATGGAACAAGTTGACACGTACTGAAATCTTCCAGCAGCAGGTTTAAGTCAACCTTTTTAAAAAGAACTGTAGGGCTTGAATGGGTACAAAATCAATAGCATGACATCAGAGAAACTCAGTCAATTTAGGATTTAAAAAAAATCTTTTTAAAGTAAACGGATTTTGTAGACCTTGTGTGTGTTTTTACAGGGTTTGTTTTTTTTTTAAGGGAGGATGGAGACATTAATGTTCTTTCCACCTATTGTGCTGCTCAAGAGATGTAATTATGTTGCCCTGATGGAAGCGGTACTCAGTGTAAAGGGTAGTGATCTTTCAGTTAAGAGAGTTAATCTCAAATTTTAAAAAATCTAGTTCTGGAACAGCCATGGTACAAGAAGTCTGAATTTCCCTTTTTCACTGTTAGCAAACACAACTGACTCAAGGCCACACGGCACTGGTGCATTAGTAAAGTAGTGCTACTCTTTTCATTATCAATGTTAGGGCTTGTCTATGCAGGGAGTGACTCTTGATTAGTTTCATCTGTGGATGCTCTTATTCTGGAATAAATCTCATTCCAAATTATTTTAATCCACTTTAGACAGCCTATTAGGAATAGTTAATCTGCTCTAAATTCACACCGTATGTTATTCTGGATTCACTTTCATGTGTAGGTGAGCCCTTAGAGAGAGTATTCAATGGAAACAGCAAGCTGCTTGCATGTTATAGCTGTTTCACCTCTTTGTAAGAGTGTTCAAGTAGTTCAAGAAACAGTAGTCTAATACACAAGGAAAGGTAGAAGAGGGAGGTTTAGTTTCCTGAAGTATTTAGTTTAAGCAATGCATGGCTAATACTTACACTGTTTTAATAGTGTTAAAATTGCACAAATTCATAAACTCTGCCATCAATAGTTTCACCAATAATGTGAAAACATTAGTCACTGGAGCAGATTGGGTCTTGCAAGCCTAATACCTCATTTCTCTCCCCCCCCCCCGCCTTCTTCCCCTGCCATGCCCCTTCCCTTTCAGTTTTAACTGCTATCTCTAGGTAGCCTCCTTCTATAGGTTTGCAAGCAGGGTATGTCCAGTACTAGCTACCCTTTGATGCTTTTAGGAAAGGGTCTACTTGTAGATGTCTAATAGTGTTTCTCAAACAGGGGTACATACATGTACCGCCTGGAAGACCTCTGTGTACCCCCAGGGGTAATCAGCTCATTTAGATATTTGCCTAGTTTTACAACAGGCTACATCGAAAGCACTAGTGAAGTCAGTACCAACTAAAATTTCATACAGTGACTTGTTTATACTATATACTATACACTGAACTGGAAGTACAATATTTATATTCCAATTGATTTTTTATATTATATGGTAAAGGAGAAAGTCAGCAATTTTTCAGTAATAAAGTGAGACATTTTTGTATTTTTAGGTCTGATTTTGTAAGCAAGTAGTTTTTAAGAGAGGTGAAATGTGGGGGTACACAAGACAAATCAGACTCGTGAAAGGGGCACAGTAGTCTGGAAAGGTTGAGAGCCACTGGTTTAATATACACATCACAGTATGTAGGCCCAATAGGTTGCCAGCAGGGTGGTGTCTTATTACTACTCATCTTAGACAAGGGAATGTCCAGAGAACCCAAATGCCTACAGTAATACCAACTATCCCTTGATCCCTTTCATATGTCCATGGGGCCTGAGTTGCACCTTGTCACCTCAGTACTCATTGTTGCTACTACTCATATTGCCTGAACCAAGTGAGAAGAAAGTTCATGTATTGTGCAATGACCAAGAACAATCAGTGCAATCACTACCCATTGGCCTCTTTCATGGTCATCTTATAAAATAATCTAGGTTAACGGCTGCCTTCAGTGGTCACATCCCTGTGTTGAAAGGGCAGAAAGGCAGAAAAGAGTAGAAGGCCAGCATAAGTTTTAATTGGTAGATGGATTTGAAAAAAAAAAAAACCCTTGAGTGTCAGGCCATAGAAACTAGTAGGAAGAAGATCAAAACAGTGTGGGGATACAGTTTGAGTCAGGGGTGCACAAACTTCTTGGCCTGAGGGCCACATCTGGGTGGGGAAATTGTATACAGGGCCATGAATGTGGGGTTGGGGTGGGGGAGGGGCTCAAGGCAAGGGGTGGGTGTGGCAGGGGGTGTGGAGTGCAGGAGGGGGCTCAGGGCAGGGGATTGGGGTGAAGGAGGGGTGTGACAGGGGGCTCAAGGCAGGGAGTTGGGGTGGGGGGGTTCAGGTTCCAGCCTAGTGCTTTTTACCTCGAGTGGCTCTGGGAGGGTAGCAGTGTGCAGCAGGGCTAAGGCAGGTTACCTGCCTTCCCTGGCCCCGCACCACTCCCCAAAGTAGCCAGCATGTCTGGCAGTGGTTCCTGGGGGTGGGTGGGGCAGGTAGCTCTGCCATGCACTGCCTTTGCCTGTGGGTACCACCCCTGAAGCTCCCATTGGCCTGCTCCATACTTTGATCACAATGATGGCTGGAGGAATGGTAATACTTCAGCCATCGTAATCCAAAAGGAACAAGATTTGGGGCCAGATGCAGTGGGTTAGGGAAGGAAGTAGATACCCTTAAATATTTGCTTCCATTCTGGAAGTCAGATTCTTTGAGGCTATGGCCTTAAAATAGCTGCCAGTCAGCTTTTGTGTTTACCAAAGGGGAATGCTTTAGCCACCTTGTCATTGAAGCCTTTTTAAAATGCTCATGGACACACACATTTTGGCTGGAGTGAGGGTAGCTATAGCCCAGAGGTGGGCAAACTACAGCCCGCTGGCCAAATCCAGCCCACAAGCCATTTTAAGCTAGCCCGTGAGATGTACCACCTGGCTTGGCCCTGCTCCATCAAGGGGGCTGCACCACGCGGCTCGGCCCCCACTCCGGCTCCTACACACTCCGATGGGAGCTACAGGGGCAGTGCCTGTGGATGGGGCAGTGTGCAGAGCTGCCTGGCCGTGCCTCTGCATAGGAGCTGGAGAAGGGACATGTCACTGCTTCCAAGAGCCACTTGAGGTAAGCGCTGCTCAGCGCCTACCTCCCTTGAGTGTCTCCCCAACCCCCTGCCCCAGCCCTAATCCCCCCCCTCCTCTTCAATCCCAGGCCAGAGCACCCTCCTGCACCCCAAACCTCTCATCCCTAGCCCCACCCCACTCCCCCTCCTGCCCTCTGAACCCCTCAGTCCCAGCCCAGAGCATCCTCCTACACCCCAAACTCATTCCAAGCCCTATCCCAGAGCCTGCACCCCTTCCCACACACCAACCCCAATTTTGTGAGCATTCATGGTCCACCATACAATTTCTATTCCCTGATGTGGCCGTTGGGCCAAAAAGGTTGCCCACCCCTGTTATAGCCTATCTTAGTGATAGTGCTGCTTCTTAGTGGGGGATGAGTGTTTACCAGTGCAAGGCATTCCTTCCTCTCCTCTGGTCCTAGGCATAGTTCAGGCAAGTCTTCCCTTTGCACCCTCTCACAAGAAAGAGCACCATGGGAAGTAAAGTGAAGCTTTTTTTTTTTTTTTTTTTTTTTTTTATTTAAAATACTGTTATGCTCTGATGTAACAAAAGATAGTTCAGGGGTACTTAGAGTCAGTTAATCTCTTGCATAGTACATATAGGAATAATGTCAAACCATAAAAATGGTACAAAGGTTACAAGATATGTCAAATCTTTTACATTTTAATTTGAAAAAATAGTAATAGTACTGCAGGGCAAGTGCTGAAAGCTGGGTTGGTAGAGTCTAGGTTAATTGTCTAGCAGTTGGAAGAATGAAAATAGGATTTAATTCAGTGTCAGTAATAATTGTCTTGTATTTTTTTTTTTTAAACTTCAGCTGTATTTGCAGTACTTGATGTAAATCAAGCCCCGAGTGTAGCAGAAGCAGGATTTTCAAAAACTTTACTACAGTCAAGTTACTGAAGTTGACACTAAGCTATTTCAAAGCATATTTTCAGTTGGCCTAATACAAAATCATGCACTACCACTTACATTTAACAGTATGAATACTGCAGCTGTTTCAACTCTGTACCTGTATTTAGTCATACATAATTCCTTTGGTCTTCATCTTCCTGAATATTCTAGCAGTAGTGTTGCCAACTATTCATGGAAATAAAATTAGATTAATTTTACAAATGCTCATAGTGGAGACCTGGTTACGTTACTTGTGCAGTCAGTGAAACAAATATACTCAAGAGCCATGTGTCTAATCCATACAGCTCAAATTAAAAACTTAGTGACAAATCCTTAGTCTACCTGTGGGTTTCTAGTGAATAATTGAGAAAAATGTTTTCTAGGATAAATTTAAGTAGAGGCAAAGACTTGTGAAGTTTCCCAGCTCTTCTACAATTCAGTTAAAGTAATAAGGCAAAAATACCCTTAAACATCTGTGCAGTGCTCGTGCTTAGTTTAATTTGGGTGAACATGATGAGAGAGAATGTACACTGGCTGGTAAGGAAAGTCATATCTGGAAGGTAGTCGTCCCCCTATTACAAGTAGTCCTTGTGTCACTGGCACTAGGGACAAAGTTGATTTCATTTTAAAAGTGAATTACAAGTTTGTCAAAATAAGCACAGTTTGAGTTAACATCCATAGATGAACACCACTTAAAGTAGATTTTAAAATATTAAGAGCAGAGATTAGTAGAATATACTGCAGCTAGGTTAAATTTCAGTTATATAAGGCAGTTTTACTTTCAAAGTAGCCAACAAGTGTTTTAGTTCTATTTACTATTGGTGTTTTCAGGAGAAGAACCTGTTACAAAAACCGTTTCTCTCTTCTGGGTAGGAAAGATTCAGAAGCAGTTGGACATTCTACAAGGTACTTTAAGCTGTGAGTGAAACCAGATTCTGAAGCCTTAGTAAAGTGAAAGACTACTCTTGGCTTGTAATACTGACAGACTGCTACCCTTCCCTCCTTTCTCCCCCACTACACACATTCCTTTTTAAAGTACCTCTAACATTGATGATTGTATGCACAGTTTGGGTTTCAGGCATGGCTGGGAGGCACTTTAAGTGTGTCTTCCAGATGGTGGTGGTCTTTGACAATTTTACTTGCTACTTCCATTTTCAGTAAGTATTAAAAGCTGCTTTTCAAATTGAAAAAAAAATATGATCTACTCTTTTGACCAAAACAGTAGTTACCTATCTTAAGTATGGCTTCCCTGGATTCTAGACAAGCCAGAGCCTTACATGTAGCAAATTGTAAAGTCATTTAAATAACCATTATACTACTAAGCTTCATGTAGCACCCATCACTGCAGCCTGATTTGAGAAAGCTCAAATAATCCTCAACTTTGTGAAGTAACTAGAAATGGCATCACTGAGCACTGTGTGCATCTGACTGCTACGTCAAGTTTGTTCACTTTGCAAGTAAAGATGGCTTATTGCAATTGCCAGCATGGTAAAGTCAGCTGAGATTGGAAGTCAGGTAGGTTTGGCTCCTGCACCACTGAGGAGATTCTGCAGGCTAGCTTTTCCACTTGGCTCTCTGTGAGACTTCAGTGTATTTGTACAGGCAAGAGGGCTATACCCTTCCTCAAATTAATAGAGCTCAACTCACTTTCCAATCACTATATGGGTTCTATAGTGTTACAGGAGTCTGAACACCACCACTAACATTAGCAGTTATAACAGCAAGTGTTTAAAGTAGTTTAGTCTAGTCACTGTTCAAAGTAGAGCTGCCCTGCAAGACAAACAGTGGAGTTAGACCGTCATCCTTAGTACAGATCTAACTACCAACAACCACCTAGTACTACATTTTCTATATTATGTCTTTGACTTCATGACATACTAAGGCCTAAGAGGTTTTATAGTTGTGGGGTGTCTGCAGAGAACTTCTGAAAGTGTTTTTCCCCTTTCTCAAAAAAAACCCTGTCACAGTTTAACATGTAGAAGCTACAGCTACCTCATTGCCCACAAGATCCAACTAGTGGCTGAATGTGACTTTTGAGTTATAAATGTGAATAAAGTTCTTTGAAGTTAATTGCAGTGTGGTGAGTTATTGCTCAAGGGTACAGGAAAGTATTGGAGAACACAAATGATTCCTTTTACTCCTACATGTAGCCAAGATCATTCTGGCTGGCACTACACCTAGAACAGTTTAGCATAAGCTGTGATCACAAAATCAGATTAGAGAAGAATCCATTTCCCTGGGTGGTAAGTGTCAGACTACTAAGAATCTAAACCACATTAGTTCTAGAGTTTATGAAAGCAGATTTATCCCCTAGATTGCTGTAATGTCCAGTGTTCTTGCACTAATGAAGGCCCCTGCCTTGAATCTGTAGGCATTCTGCTGCTGTAGGCCTTCCATAAACCCTGTCTTCTAATACTTATCAAATAGTTTAATCACTGAAGTGCCCAGGGGAAAATGAGATTAGGTTGAGAGAAGTGCCCCTTGCTGAGTCTACCTAGCTGGATTTCACACCTGTCCTTCCAAAAGCTCTGCAGCTGTACCCAGCCCTACTGCCTGAGTCACAGTATCAAAGACTGCTGCCATGCAAAAAGATCAGCACTACCATTAAGTCTTAGAACTTGCATTTCTGTACCATATACAGAAATTTAAAAGCCAAATTAACTGATGTCAAGGAAATCTGAGGCCTCCATAGCCTTACTTCCACTTGAGAAAAATTCCATAAAGGGCTGTTAGTTGAGGTTGTCCCCAGACAGCTGTTTCTCTCACAATAGCTTAGTGGTCATTTCTTTACAGGATTATGTCCTTCAACTCCAACAGCACCTATATTTTACTTCTAAGCATCGCTGGTGGAATGCACACCACAAGCAAGCACAAAATTAGGTTCCACAGGTGGCTTCAGGGAAAGGTGTCCTAGATGAACTTGCATTTTGGTGCCCCTGTGGGCACAGCACCCCCCCTGCATTGCCCCTGGCCCCTTTGGGCACCCCAGGTTTCTCCCTTCACCCCTAACTCCAGCACTGTACCCCATTTGTCCCTAACCCCTTCACCCCCTCCTGCACCCCTAGCCCCTCTACTGCCCTCCACCCCCATTGGGAAACTGTCCTGGATGCAGAGTGGCAGGCACTGCTCCTCCCTATTCCCCCAGGGGGGCAGGGGGAGGAGAAGCAACATCAGGGCTGGCTGGAGCCAGGTCACTTTTACCACCTGGTTTGAGTAAGGGCAGGGCAGGGCAGTCGCTCCTGATGCTTGCTTCACAGCACAGCCCAGGTAGGGAAAGTGACCTACACAGAGCATGCATTATTGCTCTTTGTGCACATGCACACACACACCCCCACCCTGGGGGGGCACAGAAGAATGTTGGGGTGGTGGGCAGTATCTGTCCATCACTGCTTCTCTTCTCCTCCCCCCCCAAAAAATGGGAGGAAACCAGGAAAAATCTGGGTGCTCCCTGCCAGCCAGGAGCAGTTTGACTATACACCAGCAGCACACACCTCTGTGCTGCCAAATGGTGCCCCGGGGAGTTGCCTGGGTGGCCCACCCCTAAGGCAGATCCTGTTAGGTTCTAATCTGGACATTGGTAGCCTTGGACAGCTCACTCAGCCTCTGCTTCAGTTTTCCCATCGAAAGGGATATTTGCATCACAGGATTAGTATCCATAGGCACTTTGAATGCTATCAAAAGCTTTCTTCAGATTTCAGCTCCAATGGCACATGGTTAAAAAATGCTTCACCTACAAGGCCCATATTGCTATGGGCTCAACTGACTGAGTTAGATACAATAAGCATCACGTGAAAACCAGTCTTCAGCCTGAAGGCTTATTAGCTCAGAGAACATAAAGCCGACACCCAAATGAAGTGAGGACTGATGCAGCAAGCTTTGTAGAGGCACACAAGCAGCTCTTGAGCAGGGGAATGAGAATGTGTGTTTAGTTAAAGAATTAGCTAAAAATGAAAGCAGGGAGTGTCTCAAACCTGAAAAGGATGGAAGCTTTTTGAACCCTTCAAACCCCAAAATCCAATACCATCAAAAACAAGTAAGTTACTGTCCAAGAGAGTTTGGATCTCTCTCCCTGTCAGAGGGGAAGTGAGAGGTGTTTGAAAGAGCTTGGTCTCACTAGTTACATTTAACCAGCACAGCCAGAGTTGACTTATTCCTTGTCATATCTAACCTGTCTTTGCCCTACCAGCTCCTTGGGGCCTGTGCCAGCTAGAGAAGCCACCTTGCTCCGGGGATTGACTTGGCTTGAGACAGTTCAGATTTAGTTTTTCTATCAGCACATAGTGCAGTAGTTGCTAGCTCATTATTTGGTGGGAAAGAATGTATTTGAAATCCAGTGTCCCCCTCTCCCCCTTAAGTTGTGAGGGCCCTTGTTCATTTTGTCATGTGTTCTAGTTAAAACCCTGCAGAGATCAGTTCAACAGCTTTGGGTTTTCCTTTATTAGAGAGGCTGTTTTCCAGCCATTTGTAGGGGACAACATTCTCATGTTTTTGCAGGGTTCCTTAGCTATAAGGATAACATTGAGCTTTTATATCTAAGAGCGAGCGTGCGCGTGTGTAAGAAAGACTGGACATTTGTAAAGCAGTATGCATGCATAGGGTAGTGTATAGTTTGAACTCTGGATTTTGTTTTTAACTCAAATGTGGATACTGTAAAAAAAGATTAAGAGGATGTGGAATGTGTTCAGATCAAGAAATTCAATTTTGGTATTATGCATAGTACAAGTGTGTTTAACGCATTAAATTCTTCAGAGAATGCCACACTAAGAAACTTTACATGATGACAGTGCATACAAGTGGTATTTTTCCTTGTTTCAACATTTAATTGAGATACTGTATCTCCATACAAATATACCAAGAATTACATGAAGACGACTCTCAGAAGATGCCACCATATTGGGGAAGACCAAACATGATTCTTTGAGGGAAACCAATTCTTTCTAAACAAAAGCTGACAACTTCTCATTATGGTTCTACAAAGTTCAACTCCACAGCAAACGTCTCCCTGTAGATTTTCCACATTTTGGATTTATGAGGGTTATCCAACTCATTTCTAGGAAGGTAAAGCCTGGAAAATAGAATTGTCATCTGTTTAGTTATTCTACAGTTCAAACATGCTGCCCTCTTATGTATGGTATGAAAGCAGGCTTGAAAAGCAAGTGAAACATGAGAGCTAAGAACATGTTTCATATTTTGAATATTTTTGGCTAACCAAATGCATTACACCATTTTGACAAACATACATTCCATGGTTAAGACAGGTGAGCTAGAAAACCAAGCCCAGCCATAAAGTGAACTATATAAACAATTCTATTAGAAAAGGTGACTGCTTTATGGCTGGTGCTTCACGACACAAGCACCAGCCACATTTGGAGATAAAGTGGTACCAATTTTAAGTTCAGAGCCAAAAATTTTGCCCAAGTATTTTGCTTTTTGGTGATTACTAAAAAATTGATACAATAAAATTTAGCTCCTCCAGTGTCACAAGAAAACTCCCATCAGCAGCTGCAGATACATGCTTTATCTCAAATTTGGAAGAGCTCTATGGGACAGTGACTTTAGGATATTTGAGGATTTGAACCTCATTTGAAAGAGCATGAGTGTTTCTCTTGCCTCACCCATGCAGTGTTAAATCCAAACTAAGTCTTCAGCTCTGTTTCTGCAGCCATGATAATTTTTAGCTTTTGATTTAAATCGAGCCATGAAAGGAATTTAAAAATCCTTTTAACCAGGATCATATAGCCTTATGATATCAACTCTTTTCATGGCTGACAATCCCTCAAGGATACATCAGAGGCTTCCTTCCCACTGTTGTGTTTCACTAAACTCTTTACTGAAGAGTGCCAAACAAGCATTTGTTTAGCTGGACAGTCAACATTACACTGCAAGTGCAATCTCTACTGCCAGAAATCCCGGATTGGTGACAGCACTAAGATTTAAGCACACACAGGCATTTCACACCAGTGTACCAGAAGGAAGGAAGAGCATGCCTTCCCCAGCCAAGAGAAAGGTGTTCTGGTAGGTGTCTAAATCTCCTCAAGTACTTCAGGTAGCTCAAGACACAACTGGAGGAGCATACCTCAGTGGGTTTTATGGCATCTTTAATGTAGAGACAATACAAAGCACAGATTTAGGGCTATTGTCCATGAAATATTTGGATTTTTTTTCTTACCATTACACATTTCAGCTCACTTCACTCTTCACAAAAGAAAGAGGAAAAAAGGGAGCACCATTATTAAATACTTTAAAATCTGTTAACAGTAATGTATTGCCTATTGAGGATATTGCCTAGTGCAGCTATTGTTCTGAGCATCTGTCATGTTTAAGAATCATGAGTGTATATGTGGCCCAGATGCAAGTGCTGGTGGTCATCAGCTTCCACATGCAGGGAATGGTGCCAACACAGTCTTTCCAAAGCCTTCACTCCCAAGTTTGCAAACATGGTGGCAAATTGTAAGTTGTCCTTAAGCCTCTGATAGTGCTCACTAGAGACCTTGCCTAAGTTAGAAGCATTTGCCAAGAGCATGCTAAGGCTCCCATATACTGATGCTATACAAGTATGAAGACAAGGTCCCCACTCTATCATGTGAGATGATTAAGGCAAGCAGCAACAAAATGAGTTAAAATTTGTTTTGAATTTTATTTTAGGCAACTAAACATTCAGCTTCAATACTTAGTAAGGTGAAATGTTACAAAGATCAGTTTCCTGGATTTGCAGGAGACTTCGCCTATGCTATTTAGAGTAAGGCTCTCTTCAGATCTGTCTAGTGCACCTTACATTAGGCAAACAAAATGTTGAGAGTTTGTTCCCAAGTCATCGTTTAAGGCCAAACACTACAAGTTTCCAACTTATTGCACTGTTATTACCTACCTACCTTACTAAGGGTTAAACTCTAAGGCAGCGGTCCCCAAACTTTTGAAGGTTGCACTCCCCCCCTTACCCATCTGCAGGTCCCTGCCCCCTGGGACTGGGAACAGGGCCACAGCTTGGGGTGGGGGCATGCAGCCAAGGGTAAGGGGGCTGGGAGCAGGACCAAGGCCAACAGCTGGGCCATGATGGGGGCTGACAGCTGAGCCCGCGACCAGGTGCAGCTCCACTCCCAGCCTTGCCCCTAGCCTTGTTCCCAGCCTGGGAACAGAGCCACAGGTGAGACTGGGGGCTGGCACAGAGCTGGGAACAGGACTGTAGGGTGCTCCTTCCTTGCCTTCTGTGGAGGCTGGCCCAGGCCCTGATGTGTTCTCCTTCCTCCTCCGGATGTTCCTCCACACCCCCTAGGAGGGGCACCCCACAGTTTGGGGACCTCTGCTCAAAGGTTTTGAAGTAGATGTTGCATTTTTCCAGATGTTAATAGATTTAAAGAGAATCCTAAAGATTTGCTCACCCATTGAAAATTGTAGCATTATGGACCTGCCACTCTGGTTGTCCTGTTGTAATACATCTTACCTGTTATTTTCTATAAAAGAGGTGTTGAACCAGAAGAAGAACGGGCAGTCATCATAGCCTTTTGGAAGATCCTAGGAGAAGCAAAATTGTGTTTAGGACATTTCTTATATATTTGCCTTTAAAAAAAAAGTTTAGTACAGCACAGATTGCTCCTTGGCAGAACAGGCAGGAACTAGTATAGTTAGAATCACACAACCCTGAAAACTTGATGAGGAGCTGCTGTTTGCCCACATCAAAACAATCTCACATAATTGACTTTAGCTGGAATTTTATAGTAGGGTCAATGAAAGAGGATGCAGGTGTATGTGTCACCTTCATTACACTGAAGAAGCAAGCAACAAATGAGAAGCAATTCCTGCTCTTGTTGTAACTTTGAGTATGTGCCCCCTGGCCTTGAGAGTAAAATTAGGAGCTACAGTACAGTCTGAGGTTACTTTGTCTGAAGTTACTTTGTTATATGTCACAGTACAAGGTCATGGAGAGAGAAGAGAGAAGCAGTCACGCACTTGTACTCAAACATTTGCAAGTACTTGCTATGAAGTGTCTACCTTCATAAGAGGAAATACTTTTGAATCAAGGCTAGACTTGTCCTACACACTGGGTTTTCACATTGATGCCAATGATGTACAATACCAACAGATGCATACGTATCCTACATCTCAGAGTTGGAAGTGTACCTGAAGAATGCAGTCTTTATTCCACTATACTTACAGTTCGTGATTCAAATCGGACTTTCACATCACCGCTTATAACAGGACAGTCTTCCAAGCCAATTACTGCAAAGTCATTTTCAGCATCAAAAAATAACTGAAGAAAAAAAGAACTGTTTGAAATAACTGTTTTCAAACTGAAAAAATGCACACAATCTAGCAGTGCCAATTAAGTGTTCCATTACTAAGTTACAGTGGCTCAGATGACAATACCCAATTACTTATGGTTAAAGGTTCTACAGTAAAAATAAGGAAAAATGATTGACTGTTGCCCTCCTGTTGCCAAGGTACTCAGTTTTACTAACTGATCTAGAGTTTGACCTTTAGTTTCCTGAGAAATCCACATTCCTTTTGTCCTGTGAAAAACTTGGGAGCACCAAGTTACATGAAGATGTGCAGGAAATAAGACTGAAGTGTTCTATTCCTAGTATTGGTAAATTCCCTTATTAGAAAGGGAGAAATTTCTTACATCAATATTTTCCCACAAAAACCAACAGATGTAATGATTTAGTAAAATGTGCTCAAGTTCAGTATTGAAGACATTTTAGTCAGACACCTTTATTAGAGCCATTAGAGTTCTTACCCTACAGTTTTCTTGAGTGGCACAAACACAATGGAATACAACTTTCTTTTTCACAATTATCTGAACTTTAAGATCACTTCCATTGCCTTTTCCAACTCCTAGAAGGAATCAAAGTTACATTATGTAAGGGTTTATCTTTACATTATAGAGCTGGAACAATAAGCAGTTAAATGGAACAGGATACATCAACCCCATGCACTGTGCTATAATGATAGCAAATTCACTTCTGTGTTAAAGTAGTTTTTATGTGGAACTTTCTGGAAGACAGTAGAAAAGAGGTATAAGTAGGCATAAGAGAATCATGCTTTGAAAAGTATCTATATGAATTTGTTGATGGGTCCCTGATAAACAACCCTGGAGAGCAATTCCTCTAGCCACAGAATAGACATGGAGCAGCAGCAGCAAAGTAAGGTGCCTCATGGGTGGGCACTTGAACTTTAGTCCTTGGCTTCTCTGCCAAGGCTGTTCAGATATCAGACTCAGAAGCACCCTTGAAAGCATTTGATCCATGCCAGATATATCACGGTCACTTATCTGCTGAAGAATTCTAGCCCCTGAATGCATGCACCTCACAGTCCTCCTCCCCATTCTAATGCCAGTTGGAGGGAATTAGCCATCACTGAAAGAGTCAGGCAGAAAGAACTCATTTAAAAGGGGCACAGTCACAGAAGGTGTTCATTTCGCCTGCAACTGAGTTACAAAGAACTTGAGTTTACATTTATATAGAATTTCATTATGTTTTACCTGGCTTCCATGGAACAGCAAAGCATCTCACCACTGAAGTTTTTTTTTTTTTTTTTTTTTACTTATTCTAGTAATTCTGACCCCAGTAAGGGGTCTATAGTGCACTCAATATATATCTGTATGAATACAGCGTTGAAATAAGTGACCTGGAAAACATTCCAAAACCAGAAAAAGACTAAAGTGTCCACATAATTTGTATTCCTGCTTACCATTAATAGAGTAGATTTTGATGTTCTTTATTTTGAGTTGTCTCTCTGGTGGGAGTTTCAAGTTATACTTGTTCTTCAGGATCTCATAATACCCAACATACCTACTCTGCAATGCAAAATAAAGCTGTTATGTTAAATATGGTCCTCAACACATTTGGTGCATATAGACTCCGTTGCTTTCAGTGACCGATAAGTGAGAAGTGGCAAACTGAGCTAATGGACAGAAATTTACACAATTTTAATCCCATTTTTGCCATAGGTTTGCTCTCCGTGGCCTTGGGGAAGTAGCAGTCTGTGCCAGTTTCCACCCACTCCCATCCATAAAATAGTATTAACACTTGTCCAACAGAAGCCTTGTTAAAGGGATGTTGAGTAGTTGGTCAGCAGTCTTCTGATGGAAAGTGCCCTCTTCTCAGAAATCTGAGTTTGAAACAACAGCTTACTGTCTGCCCTTCTAGAGGCCCTTATCAATTTCACTCACTTTTTGCCTGATTCAAAGTAAATGAAGTTGACAAGGGCCTTCCTTCCAGGTGGGAAGCTGGAAGGCAAAAAACTTCCATTTCCATTTGTCCAAAATGGTATTTTTCCTTGAAATCCCTTCCCACTTAAAAAAAAAAAAAAGAACTGTTTTGACTTTGTTTTGTTCAGCAAAAAAATAAAAATAAAATTCAAAAACATGAATTTTGCAGAAAGTTATTTGTTTTCCAGCTAGCTCTAGTTCTGAGCATCATTTGTTCAACACATGGTTAACATTAAATGCTAGGTATTGAACTTTTATTTAAGTCTCTCTCTGCCTCTTTTCTTCCCCCCGCCCCGCCAAGCACATTTGTTGGAGCTACAGAAGGGAAGCTTCCCCAAAGAGGAGGGCCAGCTAGTAGAGGGAAGTCATTAAATTCCTAAAAAGCACATTACCCAGACGTATGGCACAGAAGTTTGGAAGTTCTCAACTGAACTGTGGAAAATACTTCAATTCTGGTTCTTCCATCCATTACATTTAAAACAATTGCACAGTGGATTTTTAGGTGCTTTTTTGGTCTAACTCACCCTCCACAATCGCCTCACTTTGTTTAGGCTCTTACCTGGGATGGTGTTTCAACTCCTTGAAATTTGGAACTTGTACTTTTATCAGTTCTCCTCTCCCCAAAATAGTCCAAGCTCTCCTACATATAAGAGAGTCAGTTTCAAATGAAGCAACAGGACAAATTTTTCAACTGGCTCACAGTGAAGTTTGTGCTATTATATAATAATGAAGACTAAAACAGAAAAATATCAGATATGAACAGTGGTAAGAGGTTTGAAAGAGTTCAAACCAATGCTGGAGAGCAGCTTCTTTGGAAGCTAGAGTGAGTCGGTACTAGAAACATGAGGATTAGTCAATCCCTATTGTGACAGAGAATGCTTCCAGGTGGAGAAGAATTTGCTAGTCAGAAAATGACAGTATTTAAGCGGTTTTACTAAAACATCCATCAGAAGTTTAGAAAACCCAGACCTTGTTAGAAACTCCTTTTTATTCCCAATCTGTCTCCATCACCCTCAAATAAAAACCTTACACTCCAGAAAAGTACCACAGATGTGGTTCCAGGAACCAAGATCAATCAGCGCACAATTTTTGAAAGAAAAAAATAAAATAAAACCCCACAATTTGCAAGTATCGGGGGGAGCTGTGTTAGTCTGTATCCACAAAAACAGCAAGGAGTCTGGTGGCACCTTAAAGGCTAACATTTATTTGGGCATAAGCTTTCATGGGTAAAAAGACACTTCTACCCACGAAAGCTTATGCCCAAATAAATCTGCTAGCCTTTAAGGTGCCACCAGACCCCACAATTTGCAGACATTCAAGCTAATATTGGAGAGAAGTCTGTAAAACTACCTTGTAGAAGAGACACTTAACCCAGTACATCAATTTTGATGATCCTCATACAGATGCAGGTGATTCATACATATAGCATTTTTGCTATCCATGCAGTAGGGCCACAAATCTAGCTATGCTGCATTACAGCAGCAGATGACCTGCTTTTAATTATGAGAATTGCCACTCTTATAGGTATAGTTCATCTTCAAAAATGGCAAGTTCTAAAGGGAGGTGTGCTTCCACCCTCCACACAGGTGCATGGTAATAGGGATACATGGGTCATTTTAAGATTTGATACTAAACTTTGAGGAGGCCTTGCTTTAGAGTAAGATTAGCAGCTTAAATTCTTAGTTATAATGGTTTTAAAGTGAGAGTTGTTTTTTTGTAAAGTCATTTTAACAGCTTAATCAAAAGCTTCCATGGCTAGTGGTATCTCAGCATAATCCAGTCAGTCTCTTCCCATTCTTCCTGGCTGCCATTTTCCATCCCTTCAAATTATGAACCACCACCACATTTGGCAAAGCCTTTTAAAAGTGGCTTACGTTCTCCATGGAGAAAGAGGCATGTGTTTTGTAAAGGGCCTCTCCCTAGTCAATACACATGGTCTACTCAGAAGATGCCTCATCTGTCTGAGGCCTAACAAGTTGGGTTTTTTAAAAAAAATTTATTTTTAAAATTAATCTCAAATGGCTAATATTGATTTTTCCCTCATACCTTTGCACTCTCAAACTGGTCACTGTCAATGAGCCAAGTACAAACCATTGTTCCAGTCCTGCCTGTATTAAGAAAAAAAAAGAAACAGACAGACTACAGGTATATCACAGTATTTTGAGATATACATGATAGTCAACATGCAAGATTAAAATTTTAACTCTAAACAGAGGCCACATACATATATAGAGTAGAAACTAGAGTACAATCTTAGACAGGATTCAACACTGCTGAATTAAAAGAAGATGTGCTTTTGCAAAGCAGTTTCTACAGGTTTGTATTTTCCTAGTTCCTCTAATGATTCCTTTGAGAAGAATGTCCCCCCCCCCCAATAATTCCTCTCTGCAGCTTTACCATGAACTACAGCAAGATGATCAGTACTTTTCAGACCCCCGTGTTTAAATTTGAGATGGTGCCAAATATACCTCAAAACCCCAGAATTACACAGTCATTCTATAGAGTTACTAAGGGTTACCTTCTGCACAGGGATGTCCTGACAAAGGGAGAACTGCCACATGAAGTAGGCACATATGTCAAAGCACTGAAGCCAACATTTTCAAAAGCAGCTGTCTGATTTTCAGAGTGCCAAGCACCCAGCAGCTCACTGATTTCAATGAAAGCTATTAGATGCTCAGTTGTTTTTGACAAGTTTATCCTCTTAGGTACCTAAAATTAGGCACATGCTTTTGAACAATTTTAGTCTAAAGTTATACGAGAGACATTCAAGTGCAGGATGCCAATAGACAAGAGACCTTCAATATGCAAACTTATTAAAACAAAAAATTGGATGTAGGAAGCACGTAGCTAGCAGCAGACTGGGAACTGGTACAGAGTTTTCCAAAAAAGTGCCCTAACTGCTTAAGTCACTTTTGAAAATAGGACTTGTGTGCTGGGAGCATAGGTGCTGCCGTATCTCCTGGCTTGAAGTGGATTCCATTATATCCAGGGTTTACAGTTTGGTTCAATGGCTCTCAGCACCCCTGCTATACACATTGTTCCAGCACCCTTGACTGGGAACAAAGGCATATTTAGGCCTCACAGAAGCCTGCTTTGGATTTTAAGAGCCTGGCCTGATAAACAGTTCTGCTTATGCTGCTAAATGTTATGTTTAAGAAACTGCAGAATTGTATTTGTGAGAAGAAAAGAAAGTAACCATAAAGCTGGGGAGGGAGGAGGGGAGAAAAAAAAAAAGACTGGTGTGAACTAACAAAACCTGTACTGATGGGGGAGGAGTGGTAACATTGAAATGAGAGACTAACACATGGATAGGATAACATAAGAGTTATAAGTTTGTTACAAAGGCAAGTTGAAGCTGTATTGTCCAGCACTAGAGGTGACTGATGAGATTGATTACTTACAAGTGGGAAGCTCATTAGGACAATCACTTGCTGAGTGTTTTGCTTTAATAAATGTGTTAGACCCATCCGTTGAGTAAATGAATCTCAATCCAACATTAGATGCTTTTGAAAATTTTATCCATTGTAAAGGGTTTTTGAGCACCTCTGATAAAGTAATCATTAACATGCTTGTTATTTGTCTGGATAGAAATCTGAACTATCCCATGGTCAAATTATACTTGCATCAGAATCTGAAATTTAGGCAGGTAAGACATTAATGCATTTTAAAAGTTTAAGTGTCACACCATTTTAACTATGATACTATGTTTTCCAATCCCTTCTTTGCTACAGTACTTATTCTCTTACCCTTGCCTCCTTTACAGTGAATTGCTATGATGTTCTTTTCATCCTTTTTCATCCACTCACGCACATTGGCAGTAAATTTCAGCATGTCCCTAGACAAAAGCACATGAATTACAGCATAGTCAGAGCTTATTTTATACCTAGTATTGTTGTTGGGCTGCAGGAACCCTAGCATATGACTTACTTTAGGCTGGGGACATTGTGGTCATCAATAAAGACTCTCTCCACCCTGTAATGGAAGTACACAGGGTCATAACCTTTTTCACCTACAAAAAACGAAACTTCAGATTAACACTAGTTTAGAGTTCTGGTAAGTACAATTATGCCAATAGAGGTAATTTAAGTCAAGCTATTTGCTCTGCCTATGTTTTGAAGATGTTGTAATAGCAGCTCAGACTATCTACTGGAGTCTTACAGTGCTACTAAATGAATAGATTCATGATTCAATTTAAGCAGATCTGGATCAGGCTTAACTTTGAAGGCCAGCTTCCTATTTTGTGTCTGCAATTTTGCACTCTCAGTTCATTGTGGGGCCAAAGGACTCCCACCACCTGCCATCAGTTGCAACAGTGATTTGTGGGGGTAATAAGTGGGAGGCCAGTTTTCAAAGTCATGACCCTCTGAGCTTGATCTTCTCTATTTTTAACTGGTTGACTGAATCAATGTTGGTTCTCATGATCTGATTGTCCATAACCCGCCTTTGGCCAAGCCAATAAGGTTGAGGGTTATTTCCATTGGTTTTTTTGGATGCAATCCTGTTTATTTGCAAAGAATGCACAAAGTCCTGTTTCCCTGAACACAGGAGGATCAAACAATGGGAGGCAGTTGCCCCTCTCACAATTCCAAGTCTGCCATTCTAGCCAGCACTCTGCCCAAAGTGCTCTCACAGCCACCCTACCTGTGCTTTTTGTTACTGTATCCTAGTTCCATGGTTTTTGGCTGTTTCTGACTCAGTGCTGTATGCCGAGACAAGCCCTCAGATACATAGCACCAGCAGTTAATTGCCAGCTGCCACTTTCATTTGCAGTCCCTAATGGGATGTTTTCCATTGCTTTGGCTATCACTAAATGAAGGGGCATTTAATTGTTCCCTCATTTAGCCTGAAAGAAGGCTATTATGCCAGTCAACTTCAATGACATCTGTGATGCACTTTGTGAGAACCACCCAAACTCCAGCATAACAGTAGCTACACATACTTACTGCAAAGGTTATAGATTGTATAGTGGTCTTTATGTTTTGTATCCAAGAATCTTGCAACTTCCTTAAGGAAATAAGACATAAGAAATAACCATTTCTTAACTCCAAACATCTGCTCTCTTTTCAAATATACACACACGTTATTCTTCATTTCCACTGCCACTTAAACATTATACTGCCCTTACTGGAGAAGCTGGCTATATTCACAGTAGACCATGAGAAAAGAAATGAGTAGTTCAGGTTCTCATCTAGCTACTAAGCCAGTCTACTACCAGTTTTTATAAATTTAATTCAGTAAAGTTTAAGTGATCATTTAGTCTTATTCTGTATTTGAGAGCGAAAACAGCCTCTTTTATAAATCACCATGTAACACAGCCTGGGTAGCAAAAAGTGACCTTCTCAGGAAGGCTTTAAATGGATAATGAAAATAGGGTGACCAGATGTCCCGATTTTATCGGGACTGTCCCGATTTTTGCTTATTTGTCCCATGTCCTGACCTACCTTCGGTCAGGACACGAATTGTCCCGATATTTTGCCTCTGTTCACAGGCCCCCGACTCCATCCTCTCCTTCCCCCATTGGATCCCTCCCCAAATCCCCACCCTGGCCCCGCCTCCAGCCCCACCCCTCACTGCCCCATTGGATCCCTCCCCAAATCTCTGCCCTGGCCCCACCTCTTCCCCAAGCACACTGCATTCCTCCTCCTCCACACTCCCTCCCAGGCTTGCGCTGATCAGCTGTATGGCAGTGCAAGCGCTGGAGGGAGGGGGGAGGTGGAGACGGAGCGGAGGCAAGCTTGCGGGGAGCTCCGGCGGCCTTTTTTTCCTCCGCCCTCCCCCCTCCGGCATCCTGATATTTCACCTGTGTGATCTGGTCACCCTAAATGAAAATGAGGGTAACCTCAGGACACTTATGCAACAAATCATGCAGCTAGAGGACAACCCCAAGGACAGGATGGACAGACTGCACCCTTAATTTTTATGCTCGTGTGATCTAGACATAAGCCCAGTAAGTACTGGCCTCTGACTGCAAGTTGGTTTCCTGAAGGCCATCAGAGGCTAGTTTAGTCATTCCCAATCTGATCCATATTCAGCCTAGCAAAAAAGGATTGGAAGTGGAACAGAAATTCAGTGCTGTTAAGTTTTGAAGTCACATGCATTAGGGATTTTAGGAGATTTTACCTTTATAGGATTCCTATAGAAAGATTGCTTCCCGGATGATGGAAATGACATTGCAATAATACGATCTATGGAGGAAACATTTATAGGTTAAGTCCACAAGAATTGGAAATTAGCAGCGGCGGATGAATCTGAAAGAACTACTATGCACTATCAAAAAAAGTGTAGCTTTGAGAGTGGAAGCACCATTAGTGTTATGAACAATTCGTTACAGGTCACCCCACAAACAAGTAGTCATACTGTATCACCAACAGCAGCTCAGATTTTAAATTTGAATTTTTAATGACAAAGAAGTACATTTTCTGCCCATGTACTGTCTGTACTTTATATGATATTTATCAAATTAACAGCCCTGCAATAATGGATATTCCACCTAGAGGAATATCCTAGCTCTCAATCAGCATTCTCTACACAGCAAGACCCGCTTAGACAATAGATTAGTTTTGTACCTATCCCCCCCCCCACCCGGAAGCTGGCACTTATAGGTCTGCAAATAAGTTATTTAATTTTGTTTTCTGTCCGTTAAAAAAAAAGTTTTAATTTTGGTTCAAGTCAACTAAGTAAGAACATTTCAGCAACATCAAAGAAATTGGAAAAAAATTGAGCTTAAACAAAATGGTCAGTTTGGGCATTTTAAAAACAGAAGTAACAAATTGGGGGATAGATTCACACGAACTGTGGTAATGGGGGCAGGGTGGTGACTATGGCTTGTGGTCAGGGCACTCTCCTGGGATGTGGGTGACCCAGGTTCAAGTTCTTGCTCCACAGCAGGTCTCCCACATCCCAGGAGAGCAGCCTAGTTATACAAGAGGTGTAAGGGGGGGGGCACCACAACAACCTCTTCAGTCTTTTTGTAAAAACAGCACCCAAGCCCCTTGTGCATCTAAGAACTGAAATTTTCATTTTCTTCCCTTCAACCGAAACAATTTGCCAAACTTATGAACCCTGTCGGCCCGAATATGCATTTTTGGTGAAAAGCCTTAGCTGAAAAATTTCAGCCAGCTCTAACTTTGGAGTAACCAACAGTTCTCTAAAATTGTACAAACCAGTAACATAAGTAAGGTCCAGGTCAAAGCCATCTTTTGTATAGCGCCTTTTGTTTTCCGAGACCTGTCAGTCAAAAAGATGAATGAATGAGTTAGAAAGGAGACTCAAGGGAACCATAAAGATTAGGGAGTGTCTAGAAGGGGGAGTACTGAAGTAGTCCAGATGGTTACTGTTTCTCCTTGTAACTAAGCGTGAGTGGCAGAGCCTCAATCTTCCCCTATCCACTCCAGGTGGAAGTGTACATAGTTAGGCTATATACATACTATAGAGCAAGGGTTCTCAAACTGGGGGTTGGGACCACTCAGGGGGTCATGAGGTTATTACATGGGGGGGGGGGTCATGAGCTGTCAGCCTCCACCCTAAACCCCACTTTGCCTCCAGCATTTATAATGGTGTTAATTTATAACACTTGTTTATATATATTTGGGCAGGGGGGGGGGTCGTGTCGTATTCAGAAGCTTGCTATGTGAAAGGGGTCACCAGTACAATAGTTTGGTAAACACTGCTGTAGAGCTTATGTCAACATAGCCAGCCTAACTCCCTAGTGTAGAGGCAGCATACATCAACAGAAGGAGTTTTTCTGCTGGTGTAGGAACACCACCTCCCCAAAGGCCATTAGCTATGCCACCAAAGACACTTCTGTTGGCATAGTTGCATCTACATTGGGGGTTTTGTCAGCATATCTATGTCACTAGGGTGTGTCCCCAGCCCCAGCCCCCTGACCAACGTAACTACACTAGTACAAGTGTAGATCAAGCTTAAGACTAGCAAGTGGCTCACACTAGGTAACTCAGCAGCAGTCTCACAAATTTAGAAACGAAACTGCATTTTAGTCAGGCTTTGTGCTCAGGAATTATTTCAATACAGTAATCAGTAGCCAGCAATAGCTGTACTGGAGCTGACCTTATCAAGGCCTTATTCTAGTTAGCAGACAATGCACAATGAGACTTGTCTACACGGATCACAGTTGTATGCTGCATCATATTGCTGAATTGTTAGGAGTAGCATTTAACCCAGGATACAATTCTCCACTAGGAGGGGGTGGGTGGGAGCAGTGGGGGAGAAGATCAGCTTTGTTGCATCTTCACCAATTGCTAAATCAGGGCTACTCCCATGTGCAAGTGACACCTTTGAGGGAGAAACACTAGTCAAATCACAAGGGTTACTCTTATCTTATGAAAGGATGCCAGGGAATCCTTTGAACTCCTAGTGGGATGCAATACAGCTCAACTGCACTTTAACATTTTAAGTGAAGTAAGGGACAGATCTCACACACTTACTTCCCCTCCGCCCCCCTTATAAGGTCTTGCAGATTTTTTTTTCTATTAACGAGTTTTGATGCCTCGGGTAAACTCTAGCCATATAAATATCTTGGAAATTTCTCAATTAGTCTACATTTGACAGGCAGGATGCCAATGGAGTATTGATTTTGTTCCCTAAAGCCCCAACTTCTGTGTGCATTTCAAATTGACCCTACATTAAGAGTCTGGGGGAGGGGAGAAGAGAAGGAATAGTTTACCAAATACTTTTTATTCAAAGCTATGTCTAAACATGATGAAATGGAGTTTTAATATCAGATGCTACCAGGAAGCTAAAACTTGAAGGCAATTTCTATTCTGTTTATACCTGCAGAAGATGCATTACAATAAAAGCTTTTGCCTCTGATTTTAAATTGTAGCCATTCATTTCTAGATTCACGGGATACAGCAGATTCTCTTTTCTCTGCCCTGCCATGCAAGTTTGCTCAATATAAAATAAAGTCGAGCCAGAAAATGGAAGGACAGAATTGGCTACTTGCATCAGGTAGTCATGGCATCACAGCAGTGCCATCACACTGCTGTAGTGGAACAATGGCATTTTAGAAGACGTGACCCTATATTGAAAGTGGAAACACTGCAGAGTGCAGAAATGGTTCTCAACTACCCAATGCCCTAACTCAATACCTGTTCCTATCAATCACTAGAACAGATTGCCTTAGTGGAAGAGGCAGAATCCGGTTACTAGTCTGCTGGCCTGCAGTTCTGACTGTTTTAGAATGAGAACTGTGCAGTGTTAGGCCTGGTCTACACTACGACTTTAATTCGGATTTATCAGCTTTAATTCGAATTTACCCTGCAACCGTCCACACAACGAC